TCTTCTACTACTACTACTACTACAACTGCTACAACTACTATTACTACTACTGCTGCTACAACTACTAGTCCTACGACTTCTACGGCTACTGCCACTGGTACTGCTACAAAGACGACGACTAATACTATGAATACTGCTTCCATTACGACGACGATATCCACTACTACGACTACGACTACGACTACGACTACTACTACGACTACTACTACTAGTACTACTGCTGCTGCTACTGGTACTACTACTACTACTACCACTACTACTACTACTACTACTACTACTACTACTACTACTACTACTACTACTACTACTCCTGCTACTACGACTGTTATCATTCTTACTACTACTACTGCTACTACTACTACTACTACTACTACTACTGCTACTACTAGTGCTACTACTACTGCTACTACTACTAGTACTAAAACTAATACTACTACTTCTTCTAGTACTGCGACTAACACCACTAACACTACTAGCACGACTACTACTCAATACTACGCGCACCGACTTGTACATTCCCGGGTGTGTGTGTGGTTTCTGAAACTGACTGGCTGCAGACTCGCCTTCCTGCTTGGTTTTTAAATCTTTGCAGGACGACCCCGTCCAACACATTCGCGTGCAACACATTCGCAGAGGGAACGCGGGCGACCTGATGCTTTCCCCGTTGCCACCAGGGAATCTACGAATTTGCTGGGGCATGTGCCAGTGGACCGGGGAATGGATGAGAACCAGAAGTCCCCCAAGGGAACCCAAGAGGCCAAAACACTGATTATCCTGAAGCTTGAGGAAAGTGTGAACGTTGGCGCGATTTCGGGCTTCCAATGCTCCATTACGGTGCAAGAGGCATCCAGGCCTCCAAGACGGCTAACGAGTGGGAACCCGAACTGACATTCGGAGCTCTCCGCCCCAAGATGGCCCCCGAGACCACCAGCAGGACCCCGTGAGGCCATCCCCCGTGAGGCCATCCCCCCAAGGAAGCAATAGGAGATCCCCATGGGCCCCCAAGATGTCCGAGAGGCCCCTGTCATCCAAGCGGCCTCTGGGTGTGGGTGTGTGCGTGTGTGGGTGTAGAATGAGAGGGAGAAAAAGAGAGAGAGAGAGAGAGAGGGAGAGAGAGAGGCAGAGAGGGATATAGATATATCATATATATATATATCGATAGATAGATATATATATACATACATACATACATGTGTATATTTATAGAAAACATAATAGTGATAGAGATAAAGAGAGAGAGAGAGAGGGAGCGATAGATAGAGAGTGAGAGAGAGAGAGAGCGAGAACGCCAGAGGGGGGAGGGAGATGGAGAGAAAGAGAGAAAGAGAGAGAGAGAGAGAGAGAAAGAGAGAGAGAGAGAGAGCGAGAGAGAGGGGGAAAGAGAGAGAGAGAGAGAGAGCGAGAGAGAGAGAGAGGCGCCAGGCCGTGGCGCAAGCCTGGACGAAGTGCTTCCCCGCGTGGGAGGAGCAGAGCGCCCACGTGAAACCGCTGAAGGTGATCCCCTTCTTGGACGGACTGGGCCCGTTGCCGTTCGCGCTCGCCTGCAAGCCGGGGGACGGGCAACGTCCCAAAGCTCGGAGGGAGGTTGGGAGGGAGGAGGAGAGGAGGAGGGGGGGGAGGAGGAGGGAGCGAGTCGGGTGTTGCCAGACGTGCCCATGGCCCGAGGTACCTCCAAGATCTCCAGTGAGGCCTCCACGGCCCCCAACGCACCCCTCGCGAGGCCCACAGGGCCCCCCTTGGGGCGACAACGTGGAGCGAAACGCTGGGGGCACCTTGGGCCCGGGGCATCTGTAGCGACCCTCCAAACCCCAGTTCACCGTCGACACACCAAACATTACCCATTATCACTGAGATGGGGAAGATCGAACACGGCATAAACATCAACTTTTAAGGCTCCGAGCGTTGATGATTCTGTTTCCCCTTCGAGTGATGATGGTCGCCACCACCAGTAGGCATTACTACAGCAATGCACTGCTCAGTAACATGCCGAAACAACAATTACCAATTCCACGAGCATCGCTTCCTACCAAACAGACTGACATTGACACAACACGACGCACTCTCTGATGGGAAACGTTCTCCTCCCGCTTTCTGGTACCCGTGAACTCTTTGGCCTCTGATTCAGCCTTTGCTTCCAATGCGTCCATCCTACCTGGACGCCATGATGGTAGGACCGATGGTGGGAGAAACACAACGTCGTTGGAGGGGGGCGCGTCGGCATGGGCTGGAGGCCGCGGGTGTGAGAGCCTCAATGAGGCAACCTTTGATGAGACCTCGTGCCTTCGTGTCGTGCACGACGCGGGTGCGGACATGCACGCGAATGTCCACGGCAACATACTTATGTTTGGACGTTGTCCTCCCTCCTCCCCTCCTCACTCCGTCCATTTGTCTTACAAGTAAGTCCTTCATGTCGCACCCCGAGACCTGTCGGTCAGGCGGGCCAGGCGTTTCGCCTGACATTTCACCATCATTTAGAACGTGTTTTTTTATTGCTTGGGGCATAACGGCCGTTATGGCCCCCAGTCCCCCCCCGTACAACATAACGCCCCCGCCCGCCCCCCTGTGCGCCCCGGGCACTGCCGCCGTGCGCATCGGGATCCGCAAAAACGTCCGCATAAGAGTCCGCATACAGGTCTGGTCAACAATCGTCGTCGTCGTCATCGTCGTCGTCGTCGTCGTGGCTCATCGTCGTCGTGCGCGCGGACGCGGGTGGAACCTGTTTGGGGGGGGTGGCGGGGAGGGGGCCGATGACGTCACGTTTCGCGCCTGCGGCGTCTGGGAATGCGTAAGGATGACCAGGGACGGGTAGCAACAACATGTAGGTTGCGATTTGCACCACAACGCCTGTGTACACCACTACCCGCGTGCACCACACCGCCTGTGTACACCACGCCGCCTGTGTACACCACAACAGCCGCGTGCAACACAGCGCCAGGGTGTACCACAATGCCCGCGGACACCACAATGCCTATGTACACCACGGCGCTCTCGTACGGCAAATCAGCCGTGTGCAACACAGTACCAGTGCACACCAATGCCTGCGTGCACTACCGCGCCTGTGTACACCACGGCGCCTGTGTGCACCGCAACAACCGTGTGCAACAGAGCGCCACGGTTGCATATATAATTTTAGGAAAGAGTGCCAGTGTATCCCACATAAAACAATTCTGCCATATAGAATCTTGGAAATAATCATTTTTATTAAGCAGAAAGCGACGCTGGAATCTATAACTCCTCCTGGATCCCCCCGCACCATCCCAAATCTCCTATCTGCGCCCAGGGGGTTCAAGCATAATTGGCCGTCCAAGAACCACGTGGACTGATTCAGTAAACAATTCCGCGGCGCGCGCTGAGATGCGCGCGCGCTGCAGCGCCGACCCGCCCGACAGAAGGGGGGGGGCGAGGGAGGAGGAGGAGGAGGAGGAGGGGGAGGAAGAGGAGGAGAAGGTTACACTTCGAAAACACTTCCCGAGGCGACTGGGGTCGCGCGGAAGAGGGGGGGGGGCGCGCCGCGGCCCCGCGGCCGCGCCCTCGCCTGCGGGCACCGCGACTCGCGCGGGCCTGTCCTACAGGCGATGGCCCTTCTCGCACAGGCAGCCAGTATGCCCTTGCAGGGCGGCCACACGGCTGCTTTTGCCCTCGCCGAGAGTGGGGATCCACGGCGGCGGCGGGGTGTGTAGGGGTAGTAGTAGAAAGCCCCGCCGCTTGCCGCGCCCGCGCCCTCCTGGCCCCCCGCGTCTCAGCGCTTGGCTGGCCGCCCCCCTCCCTCGCGAGTCCTACGTTTTGCGCGGGCCGGGATGTGCGGCCTGTGCAGCGCCCTTTGCTGCTGCACTGCCTCGGTCTCGCGCGTGGGCCTCGGCTGGCACGGCAACCACTTGCTGGCGATGACCCGCCGCGCTGCCCGCGTCGCCTGGCTGATCCCTCTCCCGCACTCCTTCTCGCGCGCGCTGCTCCAGGCGCTGTAGCTAACGATGTTGGGCTCTAGCTTCGCCTGCCCCTTCTCGCGCGTCCTGGACCCGCGCTGTAGCTGACGGTGTCGGGCTGTGCCGTCGCCTCCCACTTCTCGCGAGCGCTGCTCCCAACGCCGTAGCTGAAGATATTGGGCTCTAGCTTCGCCTGCCTCTTCTCGTACGTCATGGTTTCAACGCTGTAGCTGATGGTGTCAGGCTCTACCTTCGCGTCCCACTTCTCGTGCGCGCTGTTCCCAGGCTCGTCCTTCGCCCTCTGCTGCCACCGCCAGTCCTTCTCGCGCTGCTCGCCCTTCTCGCGCGCGCAATGTCCGTCTTCGCGAGGCGTCCACTGCCCAGCCGCCGACGGCTGCCACTGTCCGTGGACTTGAGGCTGTCGCTGCCCATCCTTCTCGCTCGCTTGAGGCCCCCACTGCCCGTCTTTCTCGCAGGCATTGGCCCCTGCCAGAAATCCGCCGATCTGGCGCGTGAGTTTCTGAGAGCGTGGGCTTGGGCTCGCTCAAGCTTCGCTCTGGAAGGGGGTGATGCGGGGGGGGGGGGGGGGAGCGCAAACGACGAAAACCAACGAAAATAATTGACGCGCGATGGGGGGGGGGGGAAGATGGGGGGGGGGCTCGCTCAAGCTTCGCTCTGCAAGGGGGGGCGGGGGGGGGGGGGGGGCGCGGCGACGAAAGAATTGACGCGCGAGGGGGGGGGGGGGGGGCAGGAGAGGGGGGGGTGGGGCAGGAGAGAGGGGGGGGGGGGGGGGGGGGGGGCGGGAGAGGAGAGGGGGGCGGGGGGGGGGGGGAGGAGAGAGGAGGGGGGGGGGAACAAGAAGGGGAGGGGGGAAGAGAGAGGGGGGGGAGGGGGGAGAGAGGGGGGGGGGAAGGCAAGGGGGGGGAGATGGGGGAAAGGAGAGGGGGGGGGGGGCAGGGGAAAAGGGGGGGGGCAGGGGAGATGGGGGGAAGGGGGACGGGGGGGGGGGGGGGGAGGGGGGGGGGAAGGGGGGGGTGGACAGGAGAGAGGGGGGGCAGGAGAGAGAGGGGGAGGAGAGAGGGGGGGGGAGGAGAAAGGGGAGGGGGGGGACAGGAGAGAGGGGGAAGGGGCAGGAGAGAGGAGAGCGGGTGGGTGGGGGGGCGGGATCATCACCGTCTCCTTCACCATCACCGTCACCATCGTCGCATCGCCATCGTCATCATCATCACCATCACCATCCTCATCCTCATCCTCATCATCATCCTCATCCTCATCCTCATCCTCATCATCATCATCATCATCATTATCATCATCATCAACATCATCATCCGGGGCGTCCCGGATCGGCGGCGCTGGCTGGAGGCCACTACAATAAACTAGCGCCCCCCTCTGTCGGCCGCCCTGGCCCCCTCCGCGCTTGAGGCTGCTGCTGCCCGTCCTTCTCGCGCACGCGGGATCCGACTTCTTGTCGGTCCTGGCCCTCGCGGAGCTGCCACTGCCCGCTCTTCTCGCGCGCGCAGGGCCCGACCGCTGTCGGCTGCCATTGCCCGTCCGCTTGAGGCGACCATTGCCTTTCCGCCTGGGCCTGCCGCTGCACGTCCTTCTCGCGCGTGCAGTCGTCGCCCTCTCGGTGCTGCCACTGCCCGTCCTTCTCGCGCACCCTGATCCCCGCGCTGTAGCTGATGGAGGTTGACTCTATGGTAGCCTCCCACTTCTCGCACTCGCAGTTCCCAATAATGTGGCTAGAGTAGTTGGGTTCCAGCTTTGCCTGTTTCCCGTTCTTCTCACGCGAGCTTCCCGCACAACGCAGCCACTGCCCTGTCTCATCGGCTTTTCTGGCCTCCTTTGCCTCGTCCGCGTAGTCCTGCATCCACTGCATGCCACACCACGGCTCCTCGGCTGTTGTCGCTGCCTCGCCCGCTCCGGTCTCTGCGCTGCAGCGCGTGGCAGCGGGCCCTGCCTTCGCCTCCCAAGACTGCCACTGCGCGCTGATGAGCCAGCTGAAATCCAGCTCCGTTTGCACGTTGCCAGGCGCAGGCGCCGCCGCGCCGTCGGCTGCTGCTTGAGCCCCTCTCCCAACCCGGGGGCGCACACGAGCTCTCGCCTACGGCCATCGGCGGTGCCTGCCTTCGCGCCATCCTTCGGCGCTGGGGGCGCCCCGCGATCGCGGGCCCGGCCGCGCCCGCCGCGGGGCGAAACGGCTGCGCGGGGCCTCGCTGGGGAGTCACCTGGAGGGGGAGGGGGAAGAGGAGGAAAAGGGGGAGGATTGCAGAGTAGTGCTGATGCCCTTAAGGGGGTCGTACGTCCCATCATGGGGGGACGACGAACGATGGACCCAAACATGATGTGTGACAACAGTGTGTGTGTGTGTGCGTGTGTGTGAGAGAGAACGAACCAGATGTAATGCCAGCATTGGTGACGACAGACTGCACCAAAACGAATTCAAGCACCAATGTGACCCATAGGGGGCGCGGTTTGTCCGCCCCACGGGGGGTGCAAACATAGCTCGGACTTCAAGTGGTCGGAAAACGTTTCCCGCACTTCGGTTCTCATGGGATGCTGGCGGAACTTGTGCGGAATATGTCCGAGGCACAGGTGTCCGCTGCCCAAAAGTGACATCGGCGGGTCGGTATTGAGAAACCCTGTGGCAACCTAGACGGTCGCCTCCTGGGCACTTGGATGGGTGCCTAGGATAGCGGGCGTACCCTGACTGTTCCGCCGGTGCTTATGCGGACATATGTCCCACAAATTCAACCCTCCGACGAATCAATGAGAACAACAAGCTGTCCAAAGGACGCATGCCTCGTGGGTGAAGTGAACGTGCGGGACTGCCGGGACTCCCGCCGGGCTGTGACCGGGCTGGATCCCCGACGTGTCGAAAGAAGATAAGACCATTGGCATTGCCGCCAGTCTGATTCCAGGAGGCGCTTGCTTCCTAGGTGGGGTACATGTGCAGGACGCCGGCATTGCCCCCGGGCTGCGTCCATGAGGACAGAAACGCCGACGTGTCCAAACACTCAAGCAACTCAAAAACAAATTCCCTGGCATTTCCGCCATGTTGCGTCCAAAAGGCGCCTGCCTCATGGGTGTGGCGGGTGTGCAAGACCGCCGGCATTGTCGCCAGGCTGTGTCCTGGAAAGCAGACCCTCCAACGTGTCCAAAATACCAAAGACCGCTGGCATTGCAGCCAGGGTGTGTCCAGAATGCTCTTGCCGCGTAGGTGGGGTATGAGTGCCCACGTGGTGGAGGTGAAGGTGTAGGTAGAGGAGGAGGGATGGGGAACAAATCCTTGGCGTCGTGTTTAGCTGTCCGCAGCAAATCCTGACGCACATGCTCCTTCTACCTGTCCTGTGCACGCAGGCGCTGTGCGTTGCCCGCGGATGCTATGGTGTAAGCAGGCACTGTGGTGTGCACAGGCGCTGCGGTGCGCGCAAACATTGTGGTGTACACAGGCGTTGTGTTGCACATGGTTGCTGTGGTGTACATATTCGCTGTGGTGTACACAAGCGCTGTGGTGCACGCGAACACTGTGGTTTACACAGGCGCTGCGTTGCACACGGCTGTTGCGGTGTACGTAAGCGCTGCGGTGTACACGCGCGCTGTGGTGCGCGCGAGCATTGTGGTGTACACAGGCGTTTTGGGGCAGATCGCCACCTACATGCTGCTCCTAGTTGGCCTCGGTCATCCCTAGCCATTCCTGGGCACCGCCGGCCAGGAACGTGACGTCATCAGGGGTGGGGGGGGCGGGGGGAGGGGCGTTACTACCACCCCGCCCCCCCTATAACACCCGCTATTGCCGAACAGAAAAGAAACGCGCTTTCATGATCCCGAAGCTTGAAATACACAACAGGTTCAAGGACTGAGGGCGGGTGATTTCAGAATGTGACTCTCGCCCTAGCGCCGCGCACACTCGCTCGTTTCAAGGGCGGGTGATCTTCAACATGACGCACTCGCCTTAGCGCCGCGCGCACTCGTCGTAACATGTTGCATACGTCTCATGGGTGGAAGGCGGATAATTTTCAACATGTGGCGTTCACCTTAGCGCCGCGCACGCTCGTCTTAAACATACAACTGTCGCAAGGACGGGGGGGTGTTTCTCTTCAAAAGTAGCTATCGCTTTCGCGCCGCGCGCGTTTACTTCAAACTCTACGACCGTTTGAAGGAGTAGTAAGGTCTGCATCCGAAACATGTTGTTCGGGTGCGATTTAGAGTTCGTCGCGACGCAACAATAACGTTGATTCGCGTTGATGAGCTCCTTGGAATGGTGTCCTGCCACGATTTAAGATGTAATGGTCACGTTGACTCGCATTGCAGTCACCAGAATGGTGTTTTGGCACAGTTGGAAATTCTCAGACGGCTGTCTGCAAGCAATGAAAATACTCTCTGGTAGGGGCCTGCGAGAAGGAAAGTTGGAGGGGCGGTTAATTGCAACATGATATGTCTCATCTCTCGCCTCCTTCTTCCCTCCTCCCCTCCCCTCATTTTTTCCTTCCCTCCTGCTCTTCCTCCTCCTCCTCCTCCTCCCCTTCCTCCTCTTCCGACGCAAAAGGCAGGCAGAGGGGGGGGTGCCGGCGGCTGCTGCCACTTCCGCACCCACTGCCGGGCGACCTGTATCGAGTCCTGGCCGCCGTTTGGGGGGAAGGGACTACCCATCGTTCGGAAAAAGTGTGCAGACACATGTAGTAGGACGGCGCTGAAAGTTCACTGGATTTCCGCCCGCCCCCTGAAAACGCAGGACGAGGGGAGGCCAGTCGGTTCTTAAAAAACAGGAGGGCGCCGATAAAGTACACTGGAAGCTGCCGATCCCAAGATGCAGACCTTCAGCGACCGATGGGTACGGCTCAAGGTCCAGCCCGTGGCCGTCTCCAGAGCAGCTGTCAGGCCAAGCACAACGCGTCCGGCACGGCTTCGGCGACATGCGACCGTGTCTCCGCGGCTGCCCGCGCCCAGAACGTGGAGACGCAAGACTCGGGTTCGGGGGACTCGGGTTGGCCAGATGGGGCCATCATGAAAAAGGCGAGACTCAATCTGTAATGTGTAATTTGACGCGAAATCCTGCTGCAAACATTCCCTGGAAACAGGACCGTCAAAATCCGGGGCGCGCTCGTCAAACAACGCCGGCAAACCGAGTTCCGGCGTACTCGAGTCTTACGTTTCCCCGACCAGAGCGTGAAAGCTCAAGGATCTACTGACCCAGGTCAATCCAAACCCGGGTCAGTCAGGCCTTGCAGGACCCTGCGGCATCCTGAACCCAAGCCCAGGTCAATGCACCCCTGGCCCTGCAGGATCCTGCAAGATCCCGCGCTCTGACTGACCCCCGTTTGCATTGACCCCCGTCTCTTGAGCCCCAAAGAGGCGTCCACGAACACGCGCCAGCACAACCGTCAGTCCAGCCTGCCAGCAGCTCCACCCCACGGCCAAGTTGGCGCGAACAGGAAGAGAATTGAGGGTCCCAGAACCGTGTGGTGACAGACCCAGCGGTGACCTCGAAATCCGCAAATACCTCACCGCAGGGTCCGTCAACAAACGGTCTTGGAACCTCGGAGACCCTAATCGCCCGAGACATCCTCGGAGAACGACCCAAGTCCCCAAACTGTTCGGTGACCGCGAATCTTGAGCAGGGACCGACCGTCCAGGCATTCTTATAGGCCTATCACGAACTGCTCTTAAAACCGCACAAAGTGCTAGGAACAGAAACAATGTTCTTAGAACATGAACCCGACGTGTCGAAACAAGACGGTCTCGGCCAGACATGTTCTAAGAACCTTTCGTGCAGACCATCAAAGGCTCTTAGAACATTCTTTGGTGGGCCTATAGGCCAGCCAGGACGCTTCGCCACTACTTGACCTCTGGGGCCCCCTGGCCCCCGTGACGCTGCCCCTCACCCCCTCGAAAGCCCGGCTGGGAAGCTGGCGACGAAGACTGGCTGCCCGAGTCCACGTGCAGGGCATGGGCGCACTCTCAGTTTTTCGGTCGCATGAGCACTTTCTCTGGAAACGACCCGGTTGGGCATCTCTCCCAAGCTGAGAAGATCAGCCACCGTGCCTCTGGGCACGGAATGGGCCTAAGGTCTTTTGCCTAATCTTAGGTCGGGCCTGTCCACGTACACGGAGATCTCGGGCGAAACATGACACATACTAGAAACGTACACCCCAAATGCCCAACAACAGTCAAAAAATCGTCCCCGGACTAATCTCTGACTATTCTCGAATCTCCCCCCTGTAGAGGGACAGGCCCGACTGAACCCCCGCCCCTGGAGCCTCAGTCCTCAATCCTGAGGAGCCCTTGGTGTGGTCACCAGGCCGTGCGGGGGGGCCCCCGAGGAGTGCCGCGAGGGGGGGGGGCGGCCGGGCAGCCTGCCCTGGGAGGGCCGCATGCGATGCATCCGAGGGCTCTGCCCACCTGGGATGCGCCTGCGAGCGGAGGGCGCTGCCAGCGCTGGCTTGGCGCAGGCCCCAATAATAATAATAGTGATCATCATCATCAGCAGCAGCATCAGCATCATCACCATCATCATCGCAATAATACGAGTCTAATACTTATATTACGAAGTATCTATGTGTATATATATATATGTATGTATACGTATGTATGTATGTATATATGCATATATGTATATATATATATATATATATATATGTATGTATGTACACACAGCGCCCTTGAGATCCTGGCGCTGCGTTTTTTTCACAAGGGGCATCTGTGCCTTGGTCTTGGGCCAGAGGACCCTCAGGAATCGATCCAGCTCGAAACACGATGCAGAAAGATGGGGTCAAGGGCTCCGGGCGAGATGTCTCTCGTTGTTGCATGTTTTTGCAACTTCGGATCTAAGGGACCACCTCCATTCCTCCTCCCTCCTCTTCTCTCTTTCTCTCCTCATTTGGCGGGAGAGAGAAGGTGGCGAGGGAAATGGCGGTGGCGTGCCTATTTTTTAGCCACGTTCTCGGAGATCCGGACGGGGACCCGTGGGCGCGTCAGGAGGGCGAAGAGCGTCTGACGGTCGACGTGGTCGTTCGCTTTTCGCTTGGGATCTTCTGGAATCTACCTTATTGGGATTCCCCGCCGAGTGTGGCTCCAAGAGGGGCTCCGAAACGCCCAAGATGGCCTCGATTACGGCCTCAAGACAGCCAAGATGTCCCTAGGAGGGCCGAAGATGACCCTAAGATGGCCCAAGATGGCACGAGAGCCTCAAGACGGCCCATGAAGCTCCCAGAACGTCCAAGAGGTGTTTGAGAAAACCTCCATGCCAGGCCCAGAAGGCCCAAACCTTTGTTCGCTTTCGCATTCTTGCTTTGTACAAATGATGCGAATGATTTTGAATTTCCCAATTTTCGACGGCCAAATCTGGCCCCAGGGGCCTCCCCAAGATAGCCCCAAGAGGACCCCAAGACGGATCAAGGTGACCCCAAGACAGCTTCTCCAAGACGGCCCAAGCGGTACCACGACGACCCCAAAGCCCTAACGCGCCCAATTAGGGCCACAACACACTCCTCCTCCTCCTCGTCCTCCTCCTCCTCCTCCCCCTCTCTCATCCTCCCGCAAGCTTTAGCCGAACGCTTGGGCATATAGTCAGGCGTGTCCACAGGGCATAATCGACACGCCAAACACCTACCAACCAACAGTCGGCGGGCCTGGCACCACCTTCGAGCATGGCCCAGAACGGGATGGGGGATTGAGGCTTTTTCGAAATGAGGGCCAAACGAAACCAACGATATGAACAATGATCAAGCTTAACATCAACGGTCGAGATCTGCTACCTATCTGAGCACGGGATCCCTGCTAGGCGTATCATCAAAGCTTGGATTATCGATGGTGGCGTCAACTGCAAATGCTTCAGCATCACCTGCAACGCCATGCATAATTAGCGCTCTGGCAAAATTGCAATCACATTGAGCTTCGCAAACTCATCTTTCGAAATTTCAACGATCTGCAGGTCGGTGGGAGAGGGACTGTCTTGCTCCACGTCGCCGCCCAAACCGCCGATAATTTTAAGATACTTCCGGCCCGGCCCTAGCAATGTGGACCAACCAGACAGCATCGCTGGCACTTTCTCTTCCAGCTCTTCGGACACGTTCTGAGCAACGGAGTCGACGCCCTCCGTCGCGATGCGCTTTTCTATCTGATTCGCTGCAACGCCGGTGACCTGTTTCGTCATCACCTGCTGCACAGCAACGTACGCTGCTGCAGATGCCCCGCCTGTGAATGCCGCGCTGAGTATCGCAACTGGGCCCATCATCTTGCCGATCAAGCTCGTTACGTCACGCAAGTTTTCCCAGTTGCCCGGCGTCTCGTTGCCCAATACAGCATACATGTAATATGGCAAACTCGATTCGATAGACATCGACTCGTTTGGTTGCAGCACGCGGCAATTAAAGAACACATGGCTACGATCCTGGCAAACAGCCGCCGGGAAATTCATTAAATTTGCGATGATGGGCTCCTGGTACACCCACTCCAGCATGACCGTAAGGTTGACAAAACCGTCCGCGTCGCGTGGGATCGTCGAGATTGCGTCCCCGATGCAGGCCGAGTCTGGATCGTTCAGATCATTCACCCCGACGCGGCGGCGGCAACCGCAGGTGCTTTGGCGGCGCCGCCTCCGCACATCGCCGCAAGTGGACGCCTCGCTGGACTCCTCGGAGAGAGCAATGAAGAAACTATACCAATACCGTCGCTCGCAAGACCTCTATCAAGGCGCGTCCTGACCAGGACTCCGAGGCGAAGCCCGCCGTGGCGTCCACGTCGAGGGCTCCCCCAGGGGCAACAGGGGCGAGGTTGGTGGTCCCGAGCGGTGCGGTGAGAGACCGCATGGTGACCTCGAAATCCGCAAAGACCTCACCGCACGGTCCGTCACCAAACGGTCCTGGGACCTCGGGGACCCCGGTCGCCGGAGACATCCCCGGCGAACGACCCAGGTCCCAAAACCGTGCGGCCACCCCGAGAATCTCCACTGACTCACTACACGGTGTGGTCACCGCCTCGTCGGAAAGCCCCAGATACCTGTGTCGGGGATGGACAGACCCCCCTTTAGTAAAACGTGGTTTAGTGAAAACGACCTGAGGCCCAAACCTGGCGGGCGCAGGCCTGGAAAGTAGCGGCCACGGCGCCCTCTCGAGAACCGAAAACGGACAATCCACTCATCGACGTGTCACCGTTGGGGGTTCTGCCCACCTTCGACAGATACCTGTGGCGCCTGGTGGATGGCGAATCGGAACCTGGACTTTGGCCTCCGGCGGTCTCTCACGACGACCCGGGCACATCCGGAGCGCTCTCGTCGGGGCGCAGCTGCTGGAGAGCACCTGGCAGGCCCGCCGAGAACCGACCGGCGCGTCCGACCCGAGGAGGAGGACGGGGTCCCCGACGAAGGCGGGGAGGAGGCGTCGGCACCGCACCGTCTGTGGGGGGATGCAGGGTGCCGACACCCTCAGGTCGGGCGTGTCCCCCTACAGGAGGATTGAGGACGAAAAATAACACATACCCACAACATGCCCCAGAAATTGTCAAAACATAGTCCCCAGACTATGTTTTCTATTTTTGAGTATTCCTCCTGTCAAGGGACAGGCCCGACTCAACGATACCCAATCGATAACTACCCCTACTTCCCTGACCTCTCCCAGGGTGCGCTCTGACCAGAATTCGAGAAGAATCCCGCCGTGGCGACGAGGGCTCTCTCCGGGGCAGCACCTCGCCCTGCTCTGAACTTTGGGGCCCTCGACGAAGGCGCGGGGGACGAGGCAGCCGCGCCGGCACGTGCCTCCCCGAGGTCTCCGTGGAGAGCTTTGCGCCCCGGGTCCATCTGCGACGGCCCTGGGGCTCGAACAGGAAGCCCCAAGGCCGAAACCTGGGAAGAGTGCCCAGGTTGAATCAATCAACTCGTTGGAAATCTGCGTGACGGGCCCCCCGACGAAGGCGAGGGAGAAGATCGAAGAACAGATAATGACAGGCACATGGACTCATAGGGTCCGCGCTGAGCTCTTGGATCGGCAGTAGGCTCCCCTGGTGGTGCCTCCGGCGCCGCCCCTGGCGCGGGAGGGGCCGATCCCAAAACTCCGCGCGCGGACCTTCGAAAGTTTATGTTTACGTCACAGTTTGTTCCACGAGAAGATGCATCACCACCTTCCCTGATGAGCATGGGTTAATCGATCATTTATTCCCAATGGCGTGGCCTGGGCCCTGTCTGTCGATTTACTCCCTCCCCCTACCCTTAGGTCGGTCGTGTCTTCCTACAGGCGGATCTTTTTGGGAAAATAGAACTTAGCAAAGCAAATATACAAACATAATGAAAAATAGTTCCCAGACGATGTTATTCCCCAATCAAAGCTTGCCTCTGTAGGGGTCCTTGAGGCTTCATATGGTTAGGTTAGGTTTGTCGCCGATTTTCGCTGCAGGCCCGGGTGCCTGGGTGCCCAGGGGTGGGTGCCCGGGGCCCGGGTGCCCGGGGGGTGCCCAGGGCTGGCCGGGTGCCCGGGTGCCCAGGTGTGCCCGGGGGTGCCCGGGGGTGCCCGGGGGTGCCCAATAGCCCTATAGCCCTAAGCCCTATAGCCCTATAGCTCAATAGCCCAATAGCCCTATAGCACTACAACTCTATAGCCCTCTAGCTGTAAAGCCCTATAGCTCACTATAGCTCAATAGCCCTACAGCCCCTAGCCCTATAGCCCTGATTGTTTTTTTTATCTCCGGTATCATATTTCTGTTACCATTTTTGAATGGACATGCCCGACTGAACCCTACCCCCTGGTGGTGGGATGGTGAGGCCCCAGTTGTGATGGGGATTTAGTCAACCCGTATCATAAGGTTGCGCGGTAAGGATGCAACGGCCTTGGACGCCCGTGCCGAGGCTCTCCAGGCGGGGCTGGTCATCGCAAGTGGTTGAGGATGGACCGAACCCGAAGAGGCAAGTCTGAAAGGGTGCCTTCGGGGAAGTCGATGATCCTGATTATGCGGGTTGACTGCAGTATAGTAGGGTAGCAACAAACTGCATAAACATAAAAACTCGGTGGTCCGCGCGGATTTGTTGGATCCGAGCTGGACCCCCCTCCCGGAGCGCGGCAGGGGCGGCGCCAGAGGCGCCGTCAGGGGGCTGCAGCGCCGATCCGAGAGATCCACGCGGACCCCCGAGTTTTCGTGTTTATGCCATTGTTCGTTCCCCGATGTGGGTCAAACGGTATTGCTTCGACCTGAGTGAAGGGGCCCTGGGACACACAAATAAATACACACAAATAAAAAGACTCCCCATATTTTCATATATTTTCTGGGTTTTCGTCTTCCCCACAACTTCCAATATTTTCCCATATTTTCTGGGGGAGCGACGATTAATTGTGTCTGTGTGTTTTTGTTTCCTCCTGACTGAGGCTCCGCACGGCGCGCGCCGAAGCCCGCCCGCGCGGGCTGCAGCAGCGACGGCGCGTCGCAGCTGGCGTCGCCGCCGCCGCCGTGCACGCTCTCCTCGCCGCCGCCCGGGGCGGCGGCCGCGGCCTCGTCACCAGGAGGCCTCCCGGATGGGGTCCCGAGCGGATGGGGTCGGAGGATCTTCTGACCCGGGTCAATCCAGACCCAGGTCAGCAGGAAACCAAAAACTGCAATGCAGGACAAAAAAACTGCAGCGCAGGTCTTCGCAAACCCGGATCAGCCAATATGCGCGGCCGCCTCGCGGCCACGAGCGGCTCCCTGACCTGGGCCAGCCAGAGGGGGTCTTCGCAGGATCCTGCAGGATCCGGTGCCCAGGCTGACCCCCGTCTGCACTGACCCCCGTCTCGAGGCTCCCGACGCCGATGCATCGGCGATGCACCGGCGACGTCTGCGACGTCGGTGTGGAGAACATCGGGCTCCGCATCAAGCTTCAGGTCGGGCGTGTCCCCCTTCAGGCGGATTTTGGAGGAGAAATTAGACATACCCCAGAATTGCCCCAACAATACTCAAAAATGGTCAGAAAATCGTCCCGACTATTTTTTGACCATTTTTGGATATTCCCCCTGTAGAGGGACACGCCCGACTTACATCAAGCCGCATCGACGATGCGGAGCGATCCTCCGACCCCATCTGCTCGGACCCCACCTGGGAGGCGCGGAAGCACCAGACCTCCAACGCACCGGGGAAATCAGCACGGAACGTTTTTCCATATACTTTCGCAGGCCTCGAGGTCGACACCGACACCAATGTCGGCGGAGTGCCTCCATCGAGGGCAGAAGATCCCGATCTCGGTGATGGTGGCAGTGTCCTGGCTTCCAAGGTGACCGAAATATTACCACCAGCACCGACATCTAGGATCATCTTCGCCCTGTCGAGGCAACCCCTGTGTTGGTGTTGGTGCCCATTTCCAGGCCTCCGATACGGCCCCTCACGTGGCTTCCGGGCCTCACTATCGGTTTGCAAGTTTCGGCGCCTGGGGGTCCTCACCAGGCCCCAGGACCGGCAAAAAGCAGTCCAGGTCGAAAAGCTGGTCCCCAGGAGATTCTGTCCCATGTCCACACATACTAACGGATTGTTCTCCTCGGGAGGTCCTCACCGGGCCCTGGGAACGTCAAGAGATGACCATACAGAGATAATCCTGGAAGGGCTCCAGATCTCTGGTAGAAGAAGCACCAGCATACACATCAGCATTCGGAGGTCGGCACGGTTTCCTTGGAGCGGCGCTGTGCCCCCCCTGGCGGCGTCTGTGGCGCCGTCCCTGGCGCGCTCCGTGCGCCAGGGAGTGGGGTCCAACGCAGATCCAAGAACACCGCCCGGACTCCGAATACTTATTACACGAAGGTGTTTCGCGGGAAGGTGCTAATTGTGGACGAAGCGGTCAAAGAATCCCACCAAAGGGATGGGGAGCCCTGGACCGCCCGGGCCAGCAGCCCTTTCGCCTTAGACTTCCTCAAAATCCATGAAACAATCGTGCTCTCACTTCAGTGCCGGCTGCATTTTTGGCCTGGGCGCATCGACCCGCTATTGCACCTGTGGTGCTATTCTCGGGGTCCACCAAAGGGGGGGGACCCTGAGAAGGGGGGGGGGGGGAATTCGACCCGCGGGTGTATCGAATTTCCGAAAAACGATGCCCTCGGCGCGCCCCGATTGTCGTCACCTCTCGGGTCCCCGCGGCGGCCGGAGACCTCGTTCTGCATCGTTGCTCTGCGGCTCGATGCGCCGACGGACCGAACTCACCCCCCCTTGTGCCCCCCCCCCTTTGCGAGGTCCCGATATTAGGTTAGGCTTCATTCATTCCTGGGGTAATGGTTTGGCCACGTTTTTTTAGTCGATCGGCGGGCCCACGCCTTAGAGGCGCTGTTCTTCGATCTGGGGGCCCGCACTTCAGAAGCAGCCGTGGGCCTGAACTGGTTGGGGCCTCCGGAAAGTCTGCCAAGGGGGCAGCAGCCAAATGCGATCAACATCGATCCCTGTCGGTATCGTTGACCCAATCCCCATCCCCATCCCCACCCCAGCTGGGGATACACCCCTCGAAACCCGAAAGCAGCGACCTATATCCCCATCTAGGGGGGTAAGTCGGCCAGCGGGGCCCAGGCCACGCCGCTGGTGACGGATCGGTTAAACGAAACTCATAGACTCCTCCCGTGGTCCATCTTGCGCACCTCGGAGTAACTTTTCAGTCCTGGGGCCCGATGACAGCGCCCAGAGGCCGAACAAAAATAAAAAAAAGCCCTCCCGAACCCAACACCTCGACCTGCCCGCCCTTCCTGCTGGCCAAAGCCCGTGCTGGGCCACCTCACACCCGCAGACGGTTCCCACCTTTGCTTCTACCCTCCCTCTCATTCTTCCAGACCTTCCGCCCCAACCTTCCGACCCTTTTTCTAAATGATCCAAATGGGGTTCTTCGAATTACGCTAAATTTCCATGAATGTCGATGAAATCTTCCGCACTTTCCGCGTAAGTCGGTAGGTGTGGAAGGTGAAGGTGGAGGGTACCAGGGCACTTAAATGGGGCAATGCTCATCAGAAGAAGCAAAAACGCCATCAACACAATTTTTTGGCGCTCCGCGCGGATTTCTTGGATCTGCACTGGAACCCCCTCCCTGGCGCGCGGAGCGCGCAAGGGGCGGCGCCGGAGGCGCCGCCACGGGGGCCCAGGCGCCGATCCAAAAAATCTGCGCGGAGCTCCGAAAATTTATGTTCATGGCGTTTTTTTTCTTCTTCGAGGTATGGGAGGTGGAGGTGGAGGATGTCAGGGCACTTTTTGCTGGGGCAGTGCTCATGCCGCTTTTTTGCTCTTCGCTGTGGGGGCCCACGCCGTGACCAATAACCACGACGCTGGGGGCCTGCCTCGCCCGCGCCAGTCGGCAAGGCGAGGCCGCCGCCGAGCGAGGCGACCGCGAGCAGCAGGCAGCGGCGGGGCGCGCGGCGCATCCGGCCGCGGGGAGCCCTCCCGAGTGGTGGCGCCCACAGCCCAAACCCCCTCGCGTCGTCCAAAAGTCATCCCCTGAAGCTTGTCGCTGCTTCCTTCCTCCAGGGGTCCGTCAAGAAACGGCTCGGGAGGGAAAACAGGTCCCAAGGAACTTCCCTGGGACCTGCTTTTCCTCCCGAGCCGTTTCTCGACGGTCCTGTTTCTTGACGGTCCCGTCGTGCGTGTGTCTGTGTGTTTTCCTAACGTGGGCCCCCAGAGGCCTCGACCCATTAAATCTAGGTCGGGCATGTTGTCCTACAGGCGGATTTTGGACGACAGAAGTCAAATATATGCAGAAATTGTCAAACAAAAATCAAAACATCGTCCCCAGACTATTTTTTTACACTTTTGGAACATTCCTCCTGTAGAAGGGCAGGCCCGACTTAACATTAAATGGGTCGAGACCTCTGGGGGCCCACGTCAGGAAGCACACACACACGACGTCGGGGGCCTGGGAAGGGGGCGGCACGAGAGGGGCGGCCTTGTTCTCAGAGGGCGGGGGGCGCCTCCGAGAGAGGGCGCCCGTAGGGGGGGCTTCGGAGGGGCCCCGGGTAACGGTGGCGCTTGGGCCGGGTGGGGCACGTCGGGGCGGCCGCGCGCTGCGATGGCTGCGTGTGCGCGCGAGTACCAGCACGTGTGGGGAGGGGCCCGAGCCCCCCCTCGACATAAGAGCGTGACTGGTACCCGCGGAGAAAAAGGGGGGGGCTCCTGCACTGGAGGCGACCCTTGCGCGCCAGAGGATAAGAGCGCCCTCTCTCGGAAGCCTCGGCCTCGGTGAAGCAGACCCCGTCTCCTTCTCGAGAGGAAGCAACCGCAACATCAACATGCACGTTCGACGGCCCGCTCGGGTCTCTAGCATCTGTGCTGGACCTCCACCCCTGGCGCGCGAAGCGCGCCAAGGGCGGCGCCCAAGGCGCCGCCATGGGGGCTCAGCGCTGATCCAAGAAACCCGTGCGGAGCGCCGATGTAGTTGCTGTTTTTGTTGATGTTGATGTTGTTGCTGTGTTGTTGTTGGTCTTGTTGATATTGGTGTTGCTGGTGTTTCCTGATGTTGCTGTCGTTGTTGCGGTTGTGGTTGTTGTTGTGGCTGTGGTTGGTTTTGCTGCTGGCGTTGTTGTTGAACTCTCATTTCTGAAGAATCATTATTGTTTATCCCCCCTCGCCAGTGCATACTGTTTTGCTCAATCAAAGTGTGCCCCTCGACGCTCGCACCCTGTTTTTTGACGGGGAACGTCTTGGTGTTCAAGCTGTTCCCCCTGCCCGCCGGATTACAACAACAACAACAAAACCAACAACAACAGCAGCAGCAGCAGCAACAGCAGAAGAAACACCACCACCACCAACAACAACAGCAACACCAACAACACCACCACCACCAACAACAACAACAACACCACCACCACCAACAACAACAACAACAACAACATCAACAACGGCTCCCGCTCCTGAGACTTCCTCCAAGTTTGCCCAGGACCACCGCTCCTGAGACTTCCTCACAATTTACTCAGGATCGGTGCTCCCGCTCGTGACTTCCTCGCAAGGTAGTCAGGAACCCCACTCCCATCTGAGACTTCCTCACAATTTACTCAGGAACGGCGCTCCCGCTTGAGACTTCCTCGCAATTGAACCATGACTTCCTCGCAATTAAATCAAGACCCCCGCTCCCGCCAGAGAGCCCTTCACATTTTATTCAGGAATTGCGCTCTCGCCTGCGACTTCCATGCAAGGCATTCAGAAATCGCGCTTTCGACGCTCAGGAAACAAGGTGCGCCAAGGACGCCGTTACAATTTACTTAGTAGTCGCGCTCTCGCCACTCCCTCCCTCTTTCTTTGTCTCTCTCTCTCTCTCTCCCCTCTATCTCTCTCTCTCTCTCCTCTTTCTCTGCCTCGCTTATATGTCTTTCTCTCTCTCTCTCTGCCTCTAATCAACCGCCCCTCCTCTTCGCTCCTTCTCTCCCGGCGTTTTCCCTCTTCCTTTGTCCCTCCCCCTCCCTTCCTCCCACTCTCCCTCGTGCTCCCCCTCCTCTTGTTGCAGGACCCACACCAATTCCAATGGCTGGCACATGTACGCCTACGAAGGATTGTCCGCCCGTTCAGGTTTGCCCACCTGTCTAAGCCCGCCGCCCCCCGCAAAGAGAAAGAATCCCCCCGAAGGGGGTGCGATCGAAGACAAGAAGGGCGGGTATCGAGGGTGTGGGGAACTCGTTTTGAATGACGCGCGTGCAAGTAAGAGCGAACAGTCTTATAATGATTGTTGGTGTTGTTGTTGCTGTTGTTGGGTTTGCTGGTGTTGGTGTTCTACTTGTTGTTGTTGCGGTTGGTGTTGCTGTTGTTGCTGCTGGTGTTGTTGTTGTTTGTATTCGTATGTTAGTTGTTAGTGTTATTGTTGTTGTTATTGGGGTGGTCGTGGGTGTGGTCGTTGTTGTTGCTGCTGTTGTTGCTGTTGTTGGTATTCATGGTGTTGCTGTTGTTGGTGGTCTTGTTTCTGTCATTGCCATTGTTGCTATCGGTGTTATGGTAGTTGGTGTTGTTGTGGTTGTGGTTGTTGTTGCTGCTGCTGCGGTTACAATTATTGTTGATAGTGTTGCTGTTGCTGTTGCTGCTGTTCTTGATGTGGTCTTGGTTGTGGTTGTTGTTGCTGCTGTTGTTGTCGGAGGTGAGGGGGTGAGATCGAAGTGGAACGGAGAGCCCCCCTACCAAGAAATCGTTTTCGGTTTCGTGTTCGTGCGTGCCGTGCGTGCGGGCGAGGCGAAGCTGCGTGGGCGGGTGAGAAATAAACCTCCTGTAGCTGAGGCGCGGCCGGACCAAAAGTCTCCCTTCCGGCAACTGGTGCCCCGCGGTGTCCCGCCGGTGTCCCGGGCGAGAAATAAACCTTCTGTAGCTGAGGCGCGGCCGGACAAAAGTCTCCCTTCCGGCAACTGGTGCCCCGCGGTGTCCCGCCGGTGTCCTGGGCGAGAAATAAACCTCCTGTAGCTGAGGCGCGGCCGGACCAAAAGTCTCCCTTCCGGCAACTGGTGCCCCGCGGTGTCCCGCCGGTGTCCCGCTCGGGGGCCGGTGGCGCGCGGTGTCCCGCCGGTGTCCCGCCAGTGTCCCGTCGGTGTCCCGATGAGGACGATGATGATGATGATGCTGCTGATGATGATGATGATGATGTTGATGATGTTGACGATGATGATGATGATGATGATGATGATGATGATGATGATGATGGTGATGATGGTGATGATGATGGTGTCCCAATGATGATGATGCTGTTGACGATGTTGATGAGGATGATGGTGGTGCCCCGATGATGATGATGTTGATGATGATGATAATGCTGATGATGATGGTGCCCATCTGATGATGGTGATGTTGATGATCCTGATGTTGTTGATGATGATAATATGATTTGATGATGGTGATGGAGATGATGATGATGATGATGATGATGATGATGATGATGATGGTGTCCCGATGATGATGATGATGAGGTTGATGATGATGCTGTTGATGATGGTGATGATGATGGTGTCCCGATGATGATGATGATAATGATGATGACGACGATGATGGTGTTCCGATGATGATGTTGATGATGATGATGTGATGATGATGATTCTGATGATGGTGGCCCAATGATGGTGATGCTGATGCTGATGTTGATGCTGATGATGGTGTCCCGATGATGTTGATGATGATGATGGTGATGATGATGATGGTGACGATGATGATGGTGTTCCGATGATGATGATGATGATGTTGCTAATGATGACGATGCTGGTGTCCCGATGATGATGCTGATGATGTTGTTCATGATCATGATGATGGGATGATGATGCTGGTGGTGGTGCTCCGATGATGATGGTGTCCCGATGATGTTGATGTTGATGGTGATGATGATGATGATGATGATGATGGTGATGTTGATGGTGATGATGTTGATGATGATGGTGATGAGGTGGTGATGATGATGTTGTCCCGATGATGCTGATGATGATGCTGATGACGTTGATGACGATGATGTTGATGATGATGACGTTGATTGTGATATCGATTGTGATATCGATAGTGAGATCGATAGATAGACCGAATGTGAAATCGATTGTGAGGCCGATCGTGAGATCGATTGTGAGATCGATTGTGAGATCGATAGTCAGATCGATTGCGAGATCGATCGAATAAAATAGATCGAGTGAGGTCGATTGTGAGATCAATCGAATGAGATCGATCGAGCGAGACCGATAGTGAGACCGATCGAGTGAGACGTTGGTTCCTCCCCCCCCGAACCTCCTTATCACCCGAAGGGTGGTCGTATAGGCATTATTATTGTTGTTGCTGATGTTGTTGTCATTGTTGCTGTTGTTTGTGGTAATGTTGTTGTTGTTGTCATTGTGTTTGTTGTGGTTGTGATTGTGGTTGTTGTTGTTGCTGCTCCTGCTGTTGTTCTTGTTGTTGAAGCGTTGCTGCTGCCGTTGTTGTTGTTGCTTTCCAGGTCGCTTGTTCTTCCTCAATTGTGAGAATGCGCTCCCCCTCGCGCCAGCCCCCTGTGGGCGCCGCCGGCACGACCTGGAGGGGGCCCTCGGCCGCACTTTGGGCTCCTCGCCCCTGCTGCGGTGGGAGCCGGCGCCTTGGGCCTAGGTCGGGCACGTCCCTATACAGGCCGATTTTCGTCGGAAGAAAACATGCTCAAATAAAATTCAAAAGTGATTACACCATGCTAAATCGACTCCATACTATTGTTTGACACTTTTTGATTATTCCTCCTGTAGAGGGACAGGCCCGACGTAACGTTGGGCGGACCTCTCTTGGGAGAAATGTGAGGAGGCAAACTCTATTTGGCGGCGAGCGCGGGGGGGAAGCGAGACGGGGGAGGCCTTCTCAGAAGGCTCGGAAGTCCCTCGGCCTCGTGAGAAGTTGTCCGAGCCTTCCCCGAAGACAGAACAAACTTCTCAGAGGGCGCGAGGGCTTCTGAGAAGCCCCACTGCCATCTGAAAAGGCCTTCTCCTTCTCATATCCCCCCCTCGCCCGCCGCCGATCTATACACCGACGCCTTCCGGCCCCGCACTGACATTCGCACACGGAAACGGATCCTGGTGTGTACGGGATCCTGGTGTATACATGCGTCGTGATTTCCCCAGGAACAAGGGGGGGAATAACGTAGACACCACATCACCCCGACGTCGTCCCCGACCCTCGAAAGTTCTGGGATTGAAAGCCAGCCCGCCACTGGTGATGTACAGTGAAGGCCAGTCCACAAGAAACCTTCCACAAGAAGCCCAATGTCACGTTCTCCATAACAACACCATCGAAATCCAAGCTTGGACGCCCGAAATGGGTACGGAAAGAATGGGCACAATGCCCAACAGCAAACGTTGTCCCGAACCAGTAACCGCCGCTGTTTGGAAGGCGGCCTTCTGTCTCAAATGGACACAATCCGCGGCGACGCCGACAGCGAATCCGGTTCAAAATGAACAAGAACTGCTGTCGGTCTTTGTACCCATTCTTTCCGTACCCATGTCGGTCGTCCAGACCGAGAAACCCCTGGCGGCAAGCATGGTTTCTTGGCATGGGTCTCCACTGCATGCTCGAATCTCCTCGCGCGGCAACTTGAGACCCAAAGTAGTACGCCTGATCCACGCCAGATGCGTCGGACTCTCGCCGCGCGAACGTCGTTCAGTATCTGGCAGGGCGGATGTGTGGACTGGATCATACGACTACTGCGCGCCGCGAGGGGTCTCCAAGACTTTCCTTCGCAGAAAGAAGAAGGCGATGACCACGAGGAGGAACAGGAGAAACGCTGACAGCGTCAATGATGGCAAATATCGAATCGGTAAATCAGACCGAAACCAGAACCCCGTCGAATCCGCCGATCGGCGTGTGAGATGCTTCCCCCTCCCCAAATCCCTCCCCCCAGGGCCCGGTCCGGTCGGTTTGGAGGGGGGGTGTCTGGCCGGCCCCGGCTGAACGCGCCACGGGTCTCACGACAGGCCATGAGGGCCACAAGAGGCCCACAAGATGGTCCAAGAGGGCCCCGAGTCGCCGATGAATCGTTCCAAGACGCCCAAGATGGCCCCCAGACGGCCCAAGAGGCCCCCGAGACGCCCCAAGAGGCGCCAACGAGGCGTCCGAGGGCCCCCAGAAGCAAACATTGTCCCATTCCTGAGGGAAACGTATGGGCTTTCAGAACGTCCAAGACGGCCCAAGAGGCTTCCAAGATCGCCCCAAGACGGCCCAGGAAGCCCCCAAGAAGGCTCCAAGACGGCCCACGAGGGCCCCAAGACGGCTCTAGGAGGGGCCCAGGCGGTGGACCCGAACGGACATTTCGAGCCCTCGGCCCCAAGAAGCCTCCAGGAGGCCCCAAGAGGCCCCCATGAGCCTCCAAGAGGCCCAAAAGAAGCCCCAGGAGCCCCCCCAAGGGTTCGGCGGTGCGGCGTAAGCCCAAGAATTTTTGAAATCAGGGCCAGATCGGCAATCGCCACATCGGATCGGACATCGGAAACCAGAGCTTGCATCGCAATCTGATTAAACAATTTCAGGGAGTCGGATCGATATCGAACGGGTTCGGATTCGCATCGAGCTGGATCGAATCGCCCCCCTAGTGCCAGCACCCCGGATTCTGATCATCACCATCTGATGGTAATGATCAGAGTCGGGTTCTGTCCCCCTGAGGGACGCCACCCAGAGGGAAGCCCCGAAGTTGTGGCCGGCGTCGTCGT